TTTTTAGTAATGATTATACTGCATATATCTGAAAAGCTTTTATGCTACTACAATCTGAATTATACATCTGCCTACTGACAGGATAAGATTGATGATTTTTGAAAATTTTTAGAAATGATTATACTGCATATATCTGAAAAGCTTTATGCTACTACAATCTGAATTATACATCTGGCTACTGACAGGATAAGATTGATGATTTTTGAAAATTTTTAGTAATGATTATACTGCATATATCTGAAAAGCTTTTATGCTACTACAATCTGAATTATACATCTGCCTACTGACAGGATAAGATTGATGATTTTTGAAAATTTTTAAAAATGATTATACTGCATATATCTGAAAAGCTTTATGCTACTACAATCTGAATTATACATCTGGCTACTGACAGGATAAGATTGATGATTTTTGAAAATTTTTAGTAATGATTATACTGCATATATCTGAAAAGCTTTATGCTACTACAATCTGAATTATACATCTGGCTACTGACAGGATAAGATTGATGATTTTTGAAAATTTTTAGTAATGATTATACTGCATATATCTGAAAAGCTTTTATGCTACTACAATCTGAATTATACATCTGCCTACTGACAGGTTAAGATTGATTTTTGAAATTTTTTAGTAATGATTATACTGCATATATCTGAAAAGCTTTTATGCTACTGCAATCTGAATTATACATCTGGCTACTGACAGGATAAGATTGACGATTTTTGAGAATTTAATGATGATTATACTGCTTATGGCAGATTGACTCAACGGAGGGACAACTGTCGAAGCTCAATTAAAAATCCAGTAACTCAGTGGAGGTATCATCGTCTCAGGTCTCTCATGGAGAAAAAAAGAAGGATTTGGTGCATTCTGACATTCATTTTTGGGGTAAAACGCATGAAAATCACAGTTTTTAAAATAAGGTGGGGGTACAATAATTGGGGGTGCAAACCATTTTTCTTGGGCTGCAAATGCACAGCCATGCCCCCTATACCCCTTCTGCCGCCACTGCTGTCAGAACCATCCGTCTGATTTCAATCGGTTATAGTGACTGAATGCTAACCCCATGCTGTTGTACAGTCGTACAATTAATACTTTTATTCGACTAATTGCTTAACAGTCAATCCCATTAGAGTGATTCCTGTGGTTTCAAAGACAGAAGTACAAGATATATTAATGTGTTATTCTTGTAACTATAGAGAGGTTATTTTTGACTGTATTGTTCGAGAAAAGACGATTACGATGGTTGATTTCCCAGTAGCCACAATGATCCATTATAATTATTCATAACATTTTCAGAATTATTCAAATTAGCAGTTCCTATTATGAGTGGATGATAATAGAATTTCTGGAGGTGGCACGACTTCAATTCTGCCGACTTGGCCTTACTTTCTAAGAGTCCACCTATATAATTTACTTTATTTGTTTTATACAGCACTACATGTGTTAAAACGTTTACGAGCTTTCAAACGTGTTAACGATTTGTAAACGGCATTACAACTTAATTCGTAATAATGTGCAACGTATCATGAAAACTATCTATTGCATTTTGAGGTAATTTGGTTTTAAGGTCAAATTTTAAGGCCGCGATAAAAGTAATTTGTGTATTCACGTGTTACAGTAATATCATCTTCTCTTTGACGATGCATGAAGCCAATAAAGTTAACACCTCTCTATTGCAGCCGAATTTATTGTTGCTGGATTCATAGTGAATTCAAAGTACTAAACTAAGATAAAACTCCTAACTTTGTCGACTTCTGTCTCTGTAGTGATTGTCTGACTATGTTGTTGATGTCATCTAACTATGTTTCAATCTTCTGACTGTTTTATCTTGGTTGGCCTTTGTTGTCTCCTGGCGATGTTGCTGATGCTATGCTTTTAATTGGACACCTGACTGTTTTGCTGTTGGCTTCTGATTATTTCCTCGTCTCACTATGCTATTACATCCGATCATTAGAACACCTCTACTTTTGATTGATATAAGTATTAGCCGTCCAATAATCGAATGTTTATAATAAATAAATGAAAATACGGGAACTCAACTTTAATTAACCGAGTTAATGAAAATATTAAAACAAATGTACATGTATATCATTTACATTAAGTTAAGAAAGGTATAAGTCTCAAACAGTTAAAATAATGTGCCAATTAACGAGATCGTTGGTAGCCAGCCTACATATTGTGATGCAAGATTGCTTCATTACAATATACAAAATTGTTTTCGCTTATCTGAAAATACAGTTTAAATTCTAAGATGCGATAGAAAGCTGATGAAAACTGATGCCTGGGAGCTATTGATAAAGTAAATATTGAAAGATTAGCTAGAATTGGTGTGGTTTAAACTGCATGCTATACCACTTGCGCGATTTAATTCTGTTTGATGTATCAATAATAGAAAAACTGGCGAACATTAACACTTGGATACCTATAAATATTCCCATCTTAACTCTTGGAAGTACTTTATGTCTGGATATTTTGACACTGGAGGGTCAAGTTCTTATGTGTGGAATTCGCCATCGGAATTTTTCAATTAGGAATTATTAAGACTATCTTTGCTTTCGTTGTAATTTTTTATCACCTTTAATTTGTGAAAGATTTTGGGGTTGCTGGAGTTATTTTGCATTGTTTTTACATGGACTTATCCTGAATTTTCTCGTGTATAGTTACTTACGATATTTATTCCACGGAGTTATCTACATCTGAAATCGCATACTGGAGATTGGATAAATTAATGTAACAAAGAATCGTTGACGTGACAATTGAAAGTTTGCTATTCAATTCATCATTTATTGAAGACAACTATTTGGTAACATTACTGCCGAAATTTGGTGCCTGAGGAAATTTATTTCAAGATCTCATTATCAAAGAGTTTTGACCTTCAACCGCCGAATAGAACGGCCGTCGTAGTAAATAATTCTTAATTAAACAATTAAATAACGGCAATTAATCGCCCTCTTGGTTGTTTGGTTTTGTAAACTTATACTCTTGGAGGCAAATGACAACAAATGTTCTTGACAGACATCACAGATTCTGGGAAAATTACGCTTTGGACTGTTAATCATAACAATCCTGCAGCTTCCGGCATTGGTGGCATTAACGACGTACAAATCTACGAACCGATCCTTTAGTCCGTTCGGAATGGAATTACAGTTGATTTAGAGAAGTTTGTTTGTGTGATAAAAGGCCTCGGGTGATTCTAATTCATTAATGAGGCATACGATCCAATTAATTATAACCTTATTAACAAGTTCATTTCTTGGAGAAATTCTCATCGGAACAAATTGTGTTACATGGAATCGCCAACCTCGAATATTCGGTTAAGTACATGTATTAAGTAATCATCTGGGCGTGTGTTAAATTTCATAAATCTTAGCGAAGAGTCAATCAAACAGACTAACTATTTTTCTCTCTCAAGAATTTGCTATAAGGAGTTTTTATCGGGAACTATTAATTATATGTTAAATCCTATTTGATACACTTAGATTCATACTTAACTTTTTTCAAAGAATGGTAGCAATTCCATCTGTACTGCAGAAATCGATTGTGCGCCTCAATTATTCAACAGATATTCTATAAAACCTCATGACTCTGAGCTATTATTGGTTAAATGTTGAAGCCTATTGGATATTTAAAATTGTTTGTGCATTTATCTTCTAGTGAAGAATTTGATTATGAATCTGGCGCTATGGTGGTTTTACGTTGAAGCCCATTGGATAAATTATATTCGCGGTTTATATATAATGATATAACTTTGATTCATACTTTACATTATCGTTTTCGGGTACTTCCATCTAATTTGAAGGATTTGATAGCGCGCCTGTATCAGTTATTTTATAAATCCACACGACTCTGAGCTATTGGTTATAACTGTTACATGGATATATTGGATAACTAATATTGTGAGTGTATTAAACGATATAACTTCGATTTATCCTAACATTTTTTGGAATAACAGCACTTCCGTACTGCAGTATATGATTGTGCGCCTTTAATTATTCGTCAGTTATTCTATAAACCGTGCGGCACGATTCTGACTTTTTGGTTATATGTAAAAGCCTATTGGATATTTTTTTTGGAAGGATAACAATTTGATTTTGCATAGTATTTATTCAAACTTACACGGCTCGACATAGTTGTGTATTTATGTATGGCTAAGCCGCTGTAAGATAAACGGAGAAAATATTAGGTGAGTTTTAAGTGTTGCTTAGCAATTAATTTGTTGCAAAAGTAGTGGAGTCAATTGATTGAGAACACTTTTACTTGTATTGGCGTTTTGTATCAGTCATTCTGTTTTAATATCATATATAGGATGGTCATAATAGGGTGCAATCATCTGTGGCTTATTGCTTATCTGAAACGTTTTGTGAATTGGCGATAATTAGTCGCGGTGGAATTCAATGAATTGATCAGAATAAATTATTCAAATGATGATATTCTCCTTGGAACAACAGTAAAAAAGAAATACACATAGGAAAACTTTTGAATAAGAAGTTCCTGCGTACTCTTGTCGTTATTATTTGTTGGAATCGTCCTCGACCACATGAAACACTGCCATACGTTAAATGCGCGGAATCTTATTGTCGTAATACGCTTTCACATTTGATTTGGATTCGGATCGTTGCTGTTTGTTAAAACATTTGATTAAAATTCAGATGCGTTGCTGTCTGTTAACAAATTGGAATCGAATTCGAATAGTTGCTGTTTGTTAAAACATTTGATTAAAATTCGGATGGTTGCTGTCTGTTAACAAATTGGAATAGTATTCGAATGGTTGCTGTTTGCTCAAACATTGGAATAGTATTTAACCGCTGCTGGTAAAACATTTTGTTTTCGTTTTTAGAATGACATTCTCCTTTGAATTCTCTTCAATTTGTTTGCAATTTATTTTCAATTCGGAATAGAATTAGATAAGAAATATGGAATCAAATGAAACCAATTGTCCATCTGAAATGCATGTCTCAAGACAATACTTGTTAGGATACTCTGGTCTTGTTATAAGAAGTGTCATATTAATTGCAATAGCAGCATGTGCAGTTGTGGGTAATATCATCATTCTGGCGGCAATCATTTTCAAAAAACGTCGCATACGACATAACTATACGCGAACGACCTTTATTTTAGTCGGATCTCTAGCAGTTGCTGACATCATGGTCGGACTTCTAGCAATGCCTTTCTATATATTTTTATTGTGGAAAAGAGGAATTCGTATAACGGATTTTCTGTGTTCAGTGGCGTTTTCCTTGGATGTGCTTGCGTGTTCGTCTTCAATATTTCATATCATTATGATGGCTGTGGACAGATATCTGGCTATAAGCCGACCTCTTTATCACAAAATCCTACCATCGTACGTGTCGTTCATTTTTGTAGCCATTGCATGGATAGTACCAACTTTAATTTCAGTACCACCCTTATTAAGCAATGCTCATTTGAACGAAAATATGAACATCAGCTGTGCCTTATGTGAGTCAGATACTCATTTGAGTGTGGAATATCGTATAACCTCGACAGTTCTGAGTTTTTATATTCCAGCTATAATAGTCTGTATCTTATACCTCATGCTGTATCTAACCATAAAAAAACGACAGATTGTGAGGGAAAATAACTTAACCGAACTTCAAGGGAACGCAGATAAAAAGAAGGTTTCACACGCAGATTCCGCAGCTGCAAAAACAATTGGTCTCATTCTATCGTGTTTTCTAATTTCATGGACCCCATTTTTTGTCTTAAATCTGTGTTTTCTTGGAACTGAAAATGAAACAATTCAAATTATATTTGCGATAACTGTTATATGGTCGTATGCCAATTCAATGATAAATCCATTCGTGTATTATCGCTGCAATAAAAGCATTAAAGAAACTGTCCGCGATATGTTTAATTGTACAGTTGATAGAAACAAACCAGTTTTTAATGTAACTGCGTTAAAAGATACCATGCAGAATAAAGTAAGATAAAATTCTTTACTTGTGCAGTTCAAACGCACCTTTAAGACATAGTGCCAGATTTTATATATACGAAAAGCCATAAAAACTTATTCTGAACGTATAAGCTTTTTAGATTGTAATGATAGTATGAACAGGTGGACTATATAATAAACTTCTGTACTATGTTGACTATATGAAGTAGAAATTCTCGTTCTTAGTGCAAAGAAAACAATCAAATTGATTAATTTTTCTGTATGTAAATTGATTAATGTGTTTATGTAGATAGAAAATAAACTGAAAGTGTCAGGTGTTAGTAGAATGTATGATGTTTATTGTTTATATTTCACTGTGTTTATGATTTTTTTTAAAAATATGTTCTCATCGAAACCAGACATGCTTATTCATTATTTAAATAATTATTAATTAATAATTCATCATCAACCTCTCATCCTAATGGAGCGTTATCGACAATTACATGTAATATGATGCGCATCATTCAAACGTTATTTAATAAGATTAGATAATATAAATAATAATCAGGAATCAGTATGTGATAAGATTAAATAATATAAATGATAATCAGTATGTGATGAGACTAGATCAATGTAAATAATAATCAATACGTGATAAGACAAGATAATAAAAATAATAATCATTAATCAATATGTGATAAGACTAGATCAATATATATAAAATACAGTAATCAATATGTGATAAGACTAGAACAATATGAATAATAATCAGTAATCAATATGTAATTAGACTAGATAAATATAAATAATAATCAGTAATCAATATGTGATTAGACTAGATAAATATAAATAATAATCAGGAATAAATATGTGATAAGACTAGATAATATAAATAATAATCAGGAATAAATATGTGATAAGATTAGATAATATAAATAATAATCAGTAATCAATATGTGATAAGAATAGATAATATAAATAATAATCAATATGTGATAAGACTAGATCAATATAAATAATAATCAGTAATCAATATGTGATAAGACTAGGTCAATATAAATAATAATCAGTAATCAATATGTGATAAGACTAGATAATATAAATAAAAATCAGGAATCGGTATGTGATAAGACTAGATAATGTAAATAATAATCAGTAATCAAAATGTGATAAGACTAAATAATATAAATAATAATCAGTATGTGATAAGATTAAGTAATATAAATAATAATAAGAAATTAATTTGTGATAAGACTAGATAAATATATGAATAATAATCAGTATGTGATAAGACTAGATCAATATGAATAATCAGTAATCAGTATGTGATAAGACTAAGTAACATATAAATAATAATCAGGAACCAATATGTGATAAGACTAGATAAATATATAAATAATAATCAGTATGTGATAAGACTAGATCAATATGAATAATAATAAGAAATCAATATGTGATAAGACTAGATAAATATATAAATAATAATCAGTATGTGATAAGACTAGATCAATATAAATAATAATCATTAATCAGTATGTGATAAGACTAGATAAATATATAAATAATAATCTGTATGTGATAAGACTAGATAATATAAATAATAATCAGTAATCAATATGTGATAAGACTAGATAATATAAATAATAATCAGTAATCAATATGTGATAAGACTAGATAAATATATAAATAATAATCAGTATGTGATCAGCCTAGCTCAATATAAATAATAATCAGTATTCCATATCTGATAAGACTAGATCAATATAAATAATAATAATCAATATGTAATAGACTAGATCAATATAAATAATAATAATCAGTATGTGATAAGACTAGATCAATATGAATAATCAGTAATCAATATGTGATAAGACTAGATAAATATATAAATAATAATCAGTATGTGATAAGACTAGATCAATATGAATAATCAGTAATCAATATGTTTTGCGATTTTCTTGATTTTGTTTGTGTACCGGGGACTTTAATAGCTTATATTTGTAGCATCTTTTTCAATCCTCGATAAACATTAAAAATCCAGAAAATCCCTTTTCATTCACTACCGTATAACTTCATGGTAGTTATACCTTTGTTAATGGCCCAGTGAATTGAATTCATAGCATGATTTATATTCTACTTCTGACCTTCAGTCAGTAACATAACAAATTACCTGTCTCCGGGCTCAAACACCACACTTGGGTGTGATCAGTTACCTTATAAATCAATCTTGATGGTAAGATTGAAAACAAAGATATCTCTTTGATTGGCATCTTATCATGGCATCTTATTGAAACTGAGAGGAAGGAAAAAAAGTAAGTTTACTAAGAACGGTCGCTTATCTAGGCCAGGCGGTCGTAAAACTACAGGTGTTGCAAGTTTGATCTGCAATGAACATAGAGCTGATGATTTTTTAAGAATGTAATTTAAGTTGAAATACAACAGGTGATGAAAGGTGATCTATGTTGCACGATATACCATATACTTTCTTCTTTAATAGTTTACACGAAAACTCCTGCCATTTGAAGATCTTAGAGAAACTAACTTAAGGCACATCGCCATACCACTTAAAAAAAAATTTTTTTTTTGTCATAATCAAACCTATTGCATACGCCATGAAATTGCTTAAGACGGCCATTTACATCGATGTAACTGCCTTTCCTATCAGAAACCGGTGCTCTAGATAAACAGTCTTTCAGATTATGGTACAAAATACCCTTTTAAAAAAAGGCGTATCATTTAAATGACATGCTATCTTCAACGAATGCGGATATCATCTTAGATTTAAGTGCAAGTTACATCATTTCACCAAAAGAGTTAATTTTACTGCAGTTAATCATTAACAAGTTGTTTTTTGTAAACATGTTTAAGTACTTTTCACATTTAAGATGCATGCATCATACTGCAAACACTGAATATACAGAAGAATACAGGGGAAGATATGTTATCTTTTAGAGATACATTTTTACAGCGTCAACCTATTACAAAGCTTATGTCTTATACCTTGACTGCAACGCAACAAACACCCTTTCTTAAAACTATCATTATAAAAATCATTTGGGATGATTTCAACTTTGACATCCTATCAATTAATAGTTTTTGAGTCTGTGGTTATTAAGTCTCTTTATACTGGACGATGGTTATTAAGTCTCTTCATACTGGACGATTGTTATTAAGTCTCTTCATACTGGACGATGGTTATTTAGTCTCTTCATACTGGACGATTGTTATTAAGTCTCTTCATACTGGACGATGGTTATTAAGTCTCTTCATACTGGACGATGGTTATTTAGTCTCTTCATATACCAAACTATTTAGCTATTCAGTACACAGTCTAAACTGACTTTATTGAGTAGATTTATGTTCTGTCTTTTACCATTATTTGATAACAGACAAGCACAAGTTTAATTGAATGGTTAGCGTTCACTTCTACTTTATTTATTACTTGCCTGTTGCATTTGAACTGCCATTTTCCGACACTTTTTCAATAAAAGTTAATTATTTAACATCTGTTGTATAGATTAAGAACTGTTTATTATGTGACTTAGGTTATTTATTGCCTTGTCTATATATCGTTCTCTTGTTAACAAAATTAAAAGGGGGGATAAATTCAGCTCATTTGATCGTTAACGTAACAACCAAGGACACACTGTCCGGATGAAAATGCCAGAAGAAATAGAACAATACGATTTATATCATGACTGTTTAAAGGCACGTCTGGGACTTGTTGCTTAGAGACATTTGCAGTTTATTGAGAGGTCTGTCTGGACGTTTGTTGTTCATATAAAGATCTGTCTTTCTGACGAACTAAAATCATCTACGGCGTTGTTCGGTCCTTCTTAAGTGGAAATAGGGTTGACCTTAGGATTGACACAGTCTGGATTTTCATCAACTGATTCGCCCTATGGAAACTTGAAAAATCGCTCGATTCAGTAGATCAAGATGAACCAGACGACGATTGAATTATTAAAATGACTACCAGTTTATTCTAGACACGATACCACATTTCATTATAAAACACTTACTCACTTATTATTGATAAACTGATAAAGTTCAATAGCTGGCAATAATGTTTCGGCAATATGTTGTTTAGATTTCGGGTTTCGTTTAGCGGTTCTTATCGCTAGTACTTGGTTTATCTATTCCCACCTTCTACATTACTCGTCTATTGGATATGCTGTGTTATTATACAATTATGACACGCAAATTACTTTTTGAGTGACGCTATTTAAATAACTCCAAGGGAGAAAACTCGTACTATTTGATGTTTTCAACCAAAGTGATTGTTTTGTTTCATAACTTGTGGGTACCAATATCTAGGCTGTATCAAGATTATGACTGATTTAAGCTCAGTGATGCGCTGTGCTAAAGCCTAAAGTAATTATTCTTATGCAATTTCCATACAAAACTTTGGACACGTGCCGATTTTTCAATGGGAGAAAACTCGTACTATTTGATGTTTTCAACCAAAGTGATTGTTTTGTTTCACAACTTGTGTATAATGGGGTATCAATATCTAGGCTGTATCAAGATTATGACTGATTTAAGCTCTGTGATGTGCTGTGCTAAAGCCTAAAGTAATAATTCTTATGCAATTTCCATGCAAAATGTGCAGATATTTCAATGACAATCCAAGGGAGACAACCCGAGACAATGTTTTTTTTTTAACCTTTAAGGATGGTTTGGTCTACATTATACATTTGTACTAAAACATTGACATAACATAAGGATTTTGCTTTGGTGTTTATATTCCATTTTCAAAGATTTTTGTTGGCACTTATGATTACATTGTTCGTGATGATATTTCAATGACGATCCAAGGGAGAAAACTCGTACAATATTTTTTAAAATAATTTTTCCTTTTATTTCGTACATGAGTACAAACAATTAAGTGTTGCTTAGTAATTAATTTGATGCAAAATTAGTGGATTGATTCAGAATACTTTTTCTAGTAATAGCGTTTTGTATGTTCAGTCATTCTGTTTAAATGGCATTTCCAATACAGGACCGTCATAATGTACGTAATAAGGTGCAATCATCTAGGGGAATTGCTGATATGAAACGGTTTGTGAATTGAATTAATGATTCTTTGTGGAATTCAATGAAATGATCAGAATAATAATTCAAATGATGATATTCTCTATGGAAACACATCAGGTTTGATAAAATGAGCTTTATGGAAAAAACATTGTCTGACTATATAATTATGTACTTGCCATTGTTTTGGACTTTCGTAAATGCTGCTGCAACAGGATTGTTTTCCCAATCTCTTACTTCTCTTGTGAGTTCATGAAAAGTTTCCTTTCCTGTCTTTGATCGTTGCTGTTTGTTGTCGATTTGGAATAGGAATTTTCTGCGTACTCTTGTCGTTATTATTTGTTGGAATCATTCTCGATCTCATGACACTTCGGCTTGCGTTTGATTTTCTGGTCTTTATCGCATTGGAACATGACGTCACTTCGATTGAATTTTGTTAAGGAATTAGATTCGACCGAACTCGTGATCTTCGCTTGAATGTGATCTTGTTGTAGAACAATTTCACATTGGATTGCTATTCTGATCTCTGTTTGTTAAAAGACATTTGAATATCGAATCGTTTCTGTTTGTTAAAACTTTGAAGTGAAATTCAGATGGTTGCTGTTTGTTTTACATTGGAATAAAATTCAGATGGTTGCTGTTTGTTTTACATTGGAATAAAATTCAGATGGTTGCTGTTTGTTTTACATTGGAATAAAATTCAGATCGTTGCTGTTTGTTTTACATTGGAATAAAATTCAGATGGTTGCTGTTTGTTTTACATTGGAATAAAATTCAGATGGTTGCTGTTTGTTTTACATTGGAATAAAATTCAGATGGTTGCTGTTTGTTTTACATTGGAATAAAATTCAGATGGTTGCTGTTTGTTTTACATTGGAATAAAATTCAGATGGTTGCTGTTTGTTTTACATTGGAATAAAATTCAGATGGTTGCTGTTTGTCAAAATAAATTTGAATAGATTTCAAATCGTTGCTGTTAGTTAAAACATTTGACTATTTCGAATCGTGTCTGTCTGTTTGTTAAAACATTGAAATATAATTCAGATGGTTGCTATTTGCTTTAACATTGGAAGGAAATTCATATCGTTGCTGTTTGATAAAGAATTGAAACAGATTTCTGATCGTTGGTGTTTATTAGAACATTTGAATATATTTCAGATCTTTGCTGTAAGTTAAAACTTTGAATATTTCGAATCGTTTCTGTTTGTGTAAACATTGAAATAAAATTCAGATCTTTGCTATTCAAACATTGGAATAGAATTCGGATTGTTGCTGTTAAAACATTGGAATAGAACTAAGATTGTTGCTGTTTGTTAAAACATTTTAATAGAATTCAGACCGTTGCTGTTAAAACATTGGAATAAAACTAAGATTGTTGCTGTTTGTTAAAACATTTTAATAGAATTCAGACCGTTGCTGTTTTTTAAAACATTGGAATACGACCTTTTGTCTTTTTTTTAGAGTGGCATTCTCCTTTGAATTCTTGCCAATTTGTTTGCAATTTATTTTCAATTCGGAATAGAATTAGATAAGAAATATGGAATCAAATGAAACCAATTGTCCATCTGAAATGCATGTCTCAAGACAATACTTGTTAGGATACTCTGGTCTTGTTATAAGAAGTGTCATATTAATTGCAATAGCAACATGTGCAGTTGTGGGTAATATCATCATTCTGGCGGCAATCATTTTCAAAAAACGTCGCATACGACATAACTATACACGAACGACGTTTATTTTAGTCGGATCTCTAGCAGTTGCTGACATCATGGTCGGACTTCTAGCAATGCCTTTCTATATATTTTTATTGTGGAAAAGAGGAATTCGCATAACGGATTTTCTGTGTTCAGTGGCGTTTTTCTTGGATGTGCTTGCGTGTTCGTCTTCAATATTTCATATCATTATGATAGGAGTAGACAGATATCTGGCTATTAGCCGACCTCTTTATCACAAAATCCTACCATCCTATGTGGCCTTCATTTTTGTAGCCATTGCATGGATAGTACCAACTTTAATTTCAGTACCACCCTTATTAAGCAATGCTCATTTGAACGAAAATATAAACATCAGCTGTGCCTTATGTGAGTCAGGAACTCATCAGAGTGTGGAATATCGTATAACCTCGACAGTTCTGAGTTTTTATATTCCAGCTATAATAGTCTGTATCTTATACCTCATGCTGTATCTAACCATAAAAAAACGACAGATTGTGAGAGAAAATAACTTAACCGAACTTCGAGGGAACGGAGATAAAAAGCAGATTTCACATGCAGATTCCGCAGCTGCAAAAACAATTGGTCTCATTCTATCGTGTTTTCTAATTTCATGGACTCCATTTTTTCTCTTAAATCTGTGTTTTCTTGGAACTGAAAATGAAACAATTCAAATTATATTTGCGATAACTGTTATATGGTCGTATGCCAATTCAATGATAAATCCATTCGTGTATTATCGCTGCAATAAAAGCATTAAAGAAACTGTCCGCGATATGTTTAATTGTACAGTTGATAGAAACAAACCAGTTTTTAATGTAACTGCGTTAAAAGATACCATGCAGAATAAAGTAAGTTAAAATTCGCTGTGTGCAGGTCAAGACACAGCGCCAGAATTTCCATAAACGAAAAGCCATATAAAAACTTATGACTATGAAGTAGAAATTCTCGTTGTGGGGCAAAGAAAACAATAAAAATGATTATTTTTTTTAGAATGATGTGATGTTTGTTGTTTATATTACACAGTGTTTAAAATTTTTTTTAAATATGTTCTCATCGAAACCAGGCATGTTTATTCATTATTTATATAATTATTAATTAAGAGTTCATCATTAACCTTTCTATTAACCTATCAGACCCAGGATAAATATGTAAATAAGGAATATGTGATCAGTCTAGCTCAATATAAATAATAAACGGTAATCAATCTGTGATAAGACTAGATCAATATATATAAAATACAGTATGTGATCAGCCTAGCTCATTATAAATAATAAACAGTAATCAATCTGTGATAAGACTAGATAGTATTAATAAAGATCAGTAATCAATCTGTGATAAGACTAGATCAATATATATAAAATACAGTATGTGATCAGCCTAGCTCAATATAAATAATAAACAGTAATCAATCTGTGATAAGACTAGATAGTATTAATAAAGATCAGTAATCAATCTGTGATAAGACTAGATCAATATATATAAAATACAGTATGTGATCAGCCTAGCTCAATATAAATAATAAACAGTAATCAATCTGTGATAAGACTAGATCAATATATATAAAATACAGTATGTGATCAGCCTAGCTCAATATAAATAATAAACAGTAATCAATCTGTGATAAGACTAGATAGTAGTATTAATAAAGATCAGTAATCAATCTGTGATAAGACTAGATCAATATATATAAAATACAGTATGTGATCAGCCTAGCTCAATATAAATAATAAACAGTAATCAATCTGTGATAAGACTAGATGATATTAATAAAAATCAGTGATCAACATATAAATGATAATCAGTAATCAATATATAAATAATGTACCAAGATTATGACTGTGTAAGGTTTTGTGATGTGCTGTGCTAAAGCTCAAAATAATCATTATTAAGCAATTTTCATACAAAACTTTGGACGCGTGGCGATATTTCAATGACGATTCAAGGGAGAAAACTCGTACAATTTGATGTTTTCAACCAAAGTGAATGTTTGTTTCATAACTTGTGTATTATAGGGTACCAATATCTAGGTTGTACCAAGATTATGACTGTTTAGGGTTTTGTGATGTGCTGTGCTAAAGCTCAAAATAATCATTATTAAGCAATTTTCATACAAAACTTTGGACGCGTGGCGATATTTCAATGACGATTCAAGGGAGAAAACTCGTACAATTTGATGTTTTCAACCAAAGTGAATGTTTGTTTCATAACTTGTGTATTATAGGGTACCAATATCTAGGTTGTACCAAGATTATGACTGTTTAGGGTTTTGTGATGTGCTGTGCTAAAGCTCAAAATAATCATTATTAAGCAATTTTCATACAAAACTTTGGACGCGTGGCGATATTTCAATGACGATTCAAGGGAGAAAACTCGTACAATTTGATGTTTTCAACCAAAGTGAATGTTTGTTTCATAACTTGTGTATTATAGGGTACCAATATCTAGGCTGTACCAAGATTATGACTGTTTAGGGTTTTGTGATGTGCTGTGCTAAAGCTCAAAATAATCATTATTAAGCAATTTTCATACAAAACTTTGGACGCGTGGCGATATTTCAATGACGATTCAAGGGAGAAAACTCGTACAATTTGATGTTTTCAACCAAAGTGAATGTTTTGTTTCATAATCTGTGTATTATAGGGAACCAATATCTAGACTGATCTACGATTATGACAGTAAGTAATCTAATGTGCTGTGTAAAGCCTAAAGTAATCATTATTATGCAATTTTCATACAAAACTTTGGATGCGTACCGATATTGCAATGACGATCCAAGGGAGACAACCCTGATCAATGTTTTTAGTTGGATGGTTTGATCTACATATATATATATAAATATTGACATAACACATTTTATGCACATGGCATTGGTGTTTATTCATATACATACATAATTTTTAAAAATCTTGTTGACACTTTTGATAACGATAATGACGAACCAAGGGAGAAAACTCGTACAATTTGATGTTTTTGAAAATAAATGTTTTGATTTCGAACTGTAGTACAAACATCTAAGGTTCATTATACAACTATACAAAACATTGATCATACATAGAAACTTTTATGAACATAGTATTGGTGTTTATATGACAGTTGATAACATCACACGTGATAATAGTTCAATGATGATCCAAGGGATAAAACTCGCACAATTTTATGTTTTTCAAAATGAATGTTTTGATTTCGAACTGTAGTACAAACATCTAAGCTGCATTATACAACCATAAAAAACATTGATCACAAATAGGAACTTTTATGAACATGGTATGGGTGTTTATTTATATGACACTCGATAACATCTTACGTGATGATAAGTCAATGACGACCCACGGGAGACAACCCAGATCAATGTTTTTAACCAAATGAATGTTTTGATTTCTGGCTAATAATGAGTACAAATATCCAAACTACGTTATACATTATACAAAGACATTGGTATAAGAACGTTAATGTCATTGGTGATAAATGAGTGAAGAACATCGCTTTTAAAACACCCAACTTCGGAGACGCGTTTACATGGAGGCACATTACCCAAAATTTCAACACAATGTTGCCAAAATGTGATTTTAACAAATTGATAATATTGGAACCGAGAATTTTATAGCCGTAACAGCCATGTAAGATTTCATAAATAGAAACCGGAAATAGAATATGTACAGTTACCACATTGTTATCAGTTTTGGTACTCAAGTAAAACAAAATGGCGTTTTGTAGTGCTTTGGACAAAAGAGTAATTGAAACTCTACAAAGGTTTGCTTTTATTGCATTGTTATAAAGACAATGGCCATAATATTAGTTCATATGATATGAAAAGAGGTATTAGGAAATAAGTTCTCGTAAAGTAACTTTTTATTGATGATTTGTTAGTATTGCAATTGGGAAACCTGAGTAATAATTGTCGAGGGAAATATATTGTTTAGCTTAAAGAGATTTCTCATGGTCTGGATACAAAACACAAGAGATATGCGCTTTAAGGTGCGATAGACGACTCACGGTTTCCGGTACTGTGTACGGTACGGAATCGGAGACGGTGTGGACTGTGGACACGACTTAATTCCCAATTGTATCTGTACTGAAATCGCACTTCGTCTCTTTCAAGATAGTCTGACGAGTTTCTCTGTCATATTACAGGCTCATCACAACTGTTACTGAAACACAGCAGAAAGCCGAGCACAAAAAGCATTTTGGTACATGTAAGAATTTTGTCCCGATCAGTTACGATAGCCTACTCTAAAAATTGATCAATTTAATGTTTAAAAAGATCGTGAAAGATGCGGTTTCTGTCCGGAACTGACCACTTAAGGCTAAGTATGTCAGCTTCATGTAAAAAGGAATTTTATTGTTAAGTGAATTTTTTTTATAATTAACTCGACGAGTAACTTGTTTGATGAACTTTAATTGGAAACAACTTTTTCAAAAACGATCCAAGTTTTACAATTTTTGAACAAAACATTCAGTTTTAACATGGCTTTTGGTGTATAATAGAGATGTTTAGAAATATACCCTATAAATGTGTCCATACTCCAAATTAATGACATACCAATAAAAGACAATGTGACACATTCATGGTATCGAATTCATAACCGTTTCTGCTTCGGTAAATCTTTATGAGTAATGGAATTTGCATGATGATGACTGCTCTTTAATATCTTTATATACAAACGTCGATAATTATACCTGAAAATATTTCTTAAGTATGCAATTTACGTCAATGTATATGTATCTACTTGATCAAACTGAATTTGAAGTTGAAAACTTTAGAATACTAAGGAGACATATTTCTTACAATTGACTAAAAATCCGTCCAGTAAATTTTAAACAGCTTCCAAAAAGCATAACGAACTTCAAATATTTTGGCGGTAAAAAATTAACGGCTGGATTTTTTTGGTTAAAATTTTCAGATATTCTGATAAGTGACACATTTCTCTAGATTTTGGTGTATATTTTTCATATATTTGAGGAAAAAATATTTTTCCACCTACAAAAAACAGGAAATACCCCTTTAAGGTAGCCCGTTTTAAAATTTTTAAGCACTTCCTACAATTCAAGTTTTGTATTCAATAAGTGATTAAATTGTTCCCACACAAAACAGACTATTTGTAATGTTTTATACTGATAACCACACGGAATCAATAAGTTATTAATTAGAACGAAAAAAAAACTTGTTAAGTCGAGTGGAAGAGGGATTGTATATTTCATAGCAAATATCCATAGTACTTGATACATTCAAGTTATATTAAGTTTGGGTTTTAGATATTTTTCATGGTAATTGATAACTAGGTGATATATTTTGTAGAAGATTCAAGTAAATAACCATGGCGCGGGCAATATGGCTAGAACAATTAAATTGCTTTAACGTACAGCAAGATCAATAGAGTTAACTTTGTTTCCAACCTTGTAAATGTTTTAGTGTTTGTAATGTTTCTTTTAGTTATTCGATCAAATCACAGCACAAGTTTTCACCATTACCACCATTACTGTACAAAATTATTTAGTTACTGTTAACGGTTACTTGCACTTCTTTTAGTTGTTAAAGTGATCGTAAAGATATTTTTCTGAGACACTGATATCAATTTGCACCCTTCCAATTTTCAATCCGACATCTGTGACTCGTACAATCCCTTTAAATCTTGGGGACAATGGCAATTGTATAAAATGATGCCTAACCAAAATCAGCTTGTGAACACTCTACAGGGTTGATATTGATGAAATCATAGAAAGGTTTGGCATTTTAATGCACAATGGTCTAAGGCTGGGTTTTGGTGTTGATAAAAGTTTCGATGTTGATGTTGCAAGGGGGTAAGTTTATAGTAGGTGAGACTGGTGAGTTGGATCCCGTGGACTTAAGTTGGTTGGGGTCCCTCCTCCTGGATATTTTTTTTAACATAAATCCTATAATGCATTCTGAGAAGTTCATTTAATGCCTTGTAGTGGAAGATTTAACATTTCCAGTCTGTAGTTTTCACTCATATTTATATATTGTTGGTCGCTCAGTTTGATAATAATTGTATAATTTGTTCATATTGTTGGGTGTTGAGCTTCCGTGCTTCCGTAGATTTAGTTCAACCAGTCCCTATGGTAGTTAAGCCACTGTTTAAGATCTTATTATTACAAGATAAACATTCGTGTCTATTTTTTGGTATTCAATTGACGTGAAAATCTATTGTTCCGCATTATCAATTGTTTGTTCTATGGTGTACTTTCGTCGCCTTATATAATGTCATACTTGTAATATACAGTGCTCTTCATCCTTCCATTCTGTGAATTTTTATTGATTAAGAAGTTACTTTGTTTAAACTACAAAGAATTGTCTGCACATGTTTGATGTATTGATGAACTCCAAGTATTCTGTTAAGACGCCCTCTCTTAAAGTGTGTTCAGTGTCATGCCAGTTCAAATGTTGGAGAGCCCGTTTAAATGGGCAGGTTTGCCCTAGGTTTGACCAATCGCACTTTAGTCTCAGAATCGGGAATTTTTCTAGCTAAGCTAATCAGTAAAAGTGTTCACAGCTCACAGTCTAAATTTGAACCCTCGAATCCATTTTTTGAAAAAACAAATAAAAAGAATTTTACACAATTTTTTTTAGAAAATATGATGATTTAGTTAGTTTGACGTCAGATTGATTTTTTAATCAAAATGAATTTCTAAAGGTTTTTGACATTTTTAAAGTTTTGAACCGGAACTCGTCTCATACGATACATTCTCGTGCACAATAGATCCGGTGCAACTTTCCAGTCCATCGATCTGTAGAATACGTTTATCATATTCTACCCTATTTAAAATAAACAAAATTCTTGTATATTGAATGCTACAATAGAGAACAAATATTATTGTAACATTGCGTAACAACGGATGGTACTATTCCAATGTAAATAGAAGATAGCAGTGGTAAACAATGCATATTAAAGGGGAATTCTGTTTCTTTTTAGTTTGTTTTTTTTATAGGTCCATATTTATTTTGCTCAAAATTATGATACTTTATTCCAAAATCTAGAGAAATATGTCCCGTAACGTATCTTTTGAACACCAAAATTATTTAAAAGGTTTACGTAAATGTTTGAAGTTCGTAATGCTTTTTGGTGGGAATTAGAAAACTACTGTGCGGATTTAAGTAAAACAATTGTAGAGAAATATGTCACCTACATATTTTAAGGTTTCAACTATAAATATTGAGACTTTGTGAGGCCCAACACCAAAACTAGTTTAAGCTGCTTAATGAACAACAAGTACACATCGTTTTTAATTAGCCCTTTTAAAACAAATTCAGTTTGAAGTAGATATAAATAGCATACTTTAGAAATATTTTCAGGTGTAATAAATATATAAGGTTTGCATAACGCCCCTTAAAAGGTCGGCGTTCGCATTTAATTGCTTAACCTGATTTTGTATGATGTCGTTTATACTAGGGGCGAACGCGAATGCGGCCGAATTTCTGTTCGCGCGATTGTCTCCAGAGCGAATTTTTGACCCCCACAAAAAGATAGTGACCTCTGCTCTATGCTTTTGTCAGATGTTGATCACTTATTTATTCCTTTTTTTACATTAGCCAATCAGAGTGTGAGGTCAAAGTTCACACCTGTCTGCCAGTTCACTCTCTCAGACGGCTTCGTCATGTCAGGAGACAAAACAGAAGAGCTCATTTTGCTAATCGAAAAGCATCCTATTCTTTATGATAAAAATCGCAGGGACTTCAAAGATATCTTCTCTGAAGCAAGTGCAAAGCCAACATGTCTTCGCTGTCTGAAGATGTGTAGCTCGTGATGGCCAAATCATAAATGAGCTCGTTTCATCAGCGAATTTACGCGCAGAATCCCGCTTTCGTTTGATCAGCGAATTTACGCGCATAACGTCGCTTTCAATACGAACGATGATCCGTGCGAAAGGTCGCGCGAAAAGTCGCAGTGGTCGCGTTCGCGAGCGCGGTCGCGCTCAGTATAAACCAACCTTAAGTGTAAGATTAAACACTGAAATATTTGTATACCTTTGTAACGATAAGAATCTAGACTTTGTTTGCTCAAAACTTTGTAATACCCATTACTGTTTATTTGTGGTTGAAAGCAAGTGAGTGAGTCCTATTAGATGTATGTCTTTGGACTTTGTACATCTAAATGCAATTTTTTGGGACACGCTGTTGAAGAGTACCAAGGTCTCTTTGTGTTATTTATGTTGTAATGGAAATCGACTAACCGCAACCAGTGAAATGAAATGAAATGAATGGAGTTTTACGTCCTACTCTTCTGCACCTAGTTGGTCTAATGGAAACGGGCAACGAAATGCAGTATGCAATGAGAGAAATTTTGCCTGGACAGCGGCATTAGCCTACTCTTTTTAGATTTCCAGTTGTATTGTACGATTGTTCGAACGACAAGACGCTTTTTCATTGACAGTCCCTCCGAACTGCATCACTGGAAAGCAGAAAAAGTATTAAAATCCAACTTATTATAGGTGTTGTTTGGTCCAGCTATTGAGTATATTTGAAACTTGTTATGTGTATTTCCTTACACCAATATGTATCGCGCTATCGAGTATGGTTCTATTATTAATTCATTGCTTATTGAAATATAGTCATTAACATTGTGTCTAGTTTGTTAATTAGAATCCGATCATAATAATATCAACACAGCTACAATAGAGATGTTTTCAATCAGTGTTGCCAGCCCGAGGGACTATCGAGGCTAAATTCGAAATGCGGCAACCCCGTGGAGGTGTCATAGTCGCAAACCTTTCATGGAGCGACTGAGAGGATTCTTCCAAGACAATTATCGAGAAATAGAATTGATTTGGTGCATATTTCAGGGTGTTACAACTTCTGATAACATTACAACACATAATCTGTCTGAGTTGACCTAATGGTTGGACATCTAAGACAAGAGATCGGGATAGTAATAGTAATAATTTACTATAGTAATGTCCCAATTACTTGTTTGATATTTTCACTTTTAAACACGATTTCAATAATTCGTAAGCGATTCCAAAACATGAAACCAGTATTTAAATTTAATTGCCCCCCATCCACCCCCCTCCCCCCTCTTCCACCTCCTTCTATATATACATCTCGTTGATATCGGATAGTAATGTATTGTCCGCATGTATTTTTTATACATGTTTTTGTTATTGTTTCTAGGCTTAGAGTAGAATGGCTGATCTATACATTGTTTCAACGTATAATTATTTTTTGCTAATAATTTGATATACCCGCTTCTAATGATTTATTTACATTTCTACTTATAACTTACTTGAATAACAAATTAACTATCTACTTTTACAATTTAATGATCCATGATTATCTCAAATAGTTAAAGGGGGTGTAACGATGTTTTCTAAATTTCATTGAAAGTTTCAATGGGGAATCTTCTTAGCAAGTCAAGTAAATTTACAGTAGGTGAGACTTTTTAAAGGGATTGTAAAGAGGTTTTGTTAATTTTTTATGTGTATCAGGGACACTGATAACATCAATTTGAACCATTCCAATTTTCAATCAGACGTCTGTGGTTCCTGCAATTCCACTAAAACTAGGTGTTTTATGGCATCACTTATCACAAGAAATGTTTCATTACTTAAGGCCCTTCATGATAAGTGACGTCATCAAACACATGTTTTCGTAGAATTGCAGGAACCACAGACGTCTGATTGCAATTTATTATGGTGCTAATTGATGCTAACAATGTTCCCGAAACACATAAAAATTTTAGAAAACCATTTTACAATCCCTTTAAAACTTTACATTAACAAGCACCAACTAACAAAGAACTGATTATTTAGAAAACATAGTAAACATATTTCATAGTTGATAATCTAGTCAAGTTGACTCTCAATGACAATTATTCTGATACACATCGCAACGATCGTTCGAGGACAAATTGTATTTAATTGCATAATAAAATATGTAGCATTTTACAAAATAAAAAAAGGCTTCTAACGAACGTACTTTTATATTAAGGCTGAAGTATTGCATGTTTCAGTGACAGCCCCATCCTCCCGAGACTGTGGTTAATAAGGGGCAGATAGACTTAACAGAGGGACAAATGCCAAGGTAGATCGAAACATCTGTCTCCATTCTCCAGGATATATTCCTTGCGCCTCCGAACAATCAAGTCTGACCACGGGCCTGAAAGTGCTTAGCATATTATTGGTAGCCAAGTGTAATAATCTATATCTGTTTTATCAACGGTTTTGGTAAGCGTCAAAACTAAATTCTAACAGTTCTTGGTCTGTCTTTTTCACTTCTTTAGAGTAACTCCATAATAATTTTCGCCATTTGCTGATATTAATTCGTGTATTAAAAATAAGTTGAAAATTTCACATTGTCTTGTATGGCGGTTATATGTATATGATCTGCAGTCGTCTTCAGCTAAACATTGTCGACCACAATCAGATAAGGATCTAGTAAATCTGATTGTAACAGGACGTATTTCCGGTGGTGGCTGTTTACTTATCATCATTAGTTTTTGATTTGTTGTCTTAAGATTTGATGTAACTATCGACTCTGAAAATAGATTAATAATTGAAATGAGATAATAATAAAAGCTATGTTAGAGTATTGATGAAATCATTAGCAAGTGAAATTAATTTGATACAGGTGACTAATGAAATTAATGTGTTTTATGTGTATCAGTGACATTGATAGCATCAATTTTCAATCAGACCTACAATCCCATTAAAACCAAGTGTTTTTCGACGTCGTAATATGCCCTTTGCGATCAATGACGTCATCAAACAATTTGTTTTAGTGGAATTGCAGGAACCACAGACATCTGATTGAATATTGGAATTGTGCAAACTAATGCAAACGGTGTCCCTGATACACATAAAAATTTAAGAAAACCTCTTTACAATTCCTTTAAGACACGGGTCTTTAATAATCTATGTTGGTGGAATCACTGTAACATTTAATGTTACATAGGTAGCCCAGAGGTCATCCTTTCTTGGCGGTCACAACGGAGGCTGTTAATGATTACTCAACATTAGAAGTGCTTGGTGTAACCTTCGTTCAATTCTGGGCACCAGTGATAGCTTTATGACCCGATTTTGATATTCCCAGGTGAAAATTACTCAGACCAGTTCAATGTTCATAATGATACATATACTGGACTTCGAGTTAACTCTCTTGACTTCTTGTCACATTATTTCTCGCCCATATACATAATAATATGTTAATGTACAGAAATATTAAAACTGATCCCGAAACATGCTGAAACATGTAGCGATCTTCAGACATCTAACCTATTTCGGCGTGTGACCCTACTGACGTCTGACTGGTAGTGCTTGTTCTCATATCTGCACTTCGAGATACAAAATGGCATGTAAACTTGACTCAAATAGGACCTTCGACTCTGTAGCTGTAGTGCATAGGCGTTGAGATTTACGAATTCTTACCTGGCTTATAAAAATTTGCAACGTCTGCTGATGTACACTTAGTTACTATAGCAGTTGGTAACTGGTTCGCATTATGAATATATTCAAATACAGCTAGGCATCGTATCTGACCTTTAAATCCTTCCTCAATCAAAGTTCCACCACCAATTGTCATGGTCATATCTTCAGAAGATGCTGATGATGCAGGAGTACAAGTGTCTGCTGCATGGTATGTTCTGTTCTCGATGATCAGAAAAAGATCGTGCGTTCTCCTCTGTATTCCCAACACGCGCCATGACCATGGAAGCGGCATATCAGTGACTACAATATTTCCACACAAGCCCGAGGCATCCATGATAGTTACCTTGGTGCCGTTAACAACGATTTCTATTTTAAGGTTAACTATGCCAACCGGAGGATCTTGGTTGTTAGCTATTTGTAATATGGTTCCGACACCATGTCGCATGGTACTGATATAGAAGGATATTTCAAATTCATTTTGTAACCGCTCTGATGATATATTTGTGATTATTTTCGACAAAGGCCAACCATCAAAGTGGATTGCATCATTAGGCAGCTCTGCTGGACCCGGAGTAAATTGGAAGGCGTTCATTCGGGTAGACGGTGGAGTGTTCGTTTGCACTTCATAGCCAAGCGCCATTGCATCAAGCGGCCAGATCAAAGTCTTATCTGAAATAAAACGAACATAATTTGAAATGACGACAGTAATCATAAACGCAAAATATTGATAGCAAAAATAGCCTGGATAAGTTAACTGGAAAGGCGCTTGCTCGCGTACATAGAGGTCAGAAGTCGTAAAGGCACCTTTGGATATTTCAAGCTGGTTCCTTGTGCCAGTGATGCAGATATGGGTGGTTCACGTGGAAGAATCGTTCAGACAGGAAATAAGGTCTCTAACTTAAGTGGCTATATTATAAATAAAAGTTAATACAAAAAACGGAAGAAAGTTTGGTCTTATTTTTTTGAGATCGCAATTTATTTATTTTTGCAACCTGATTTGGCTGTTCATGCAAAAAATATTTACCTGGAGGTTCAGAGGGAATATTGTTGCATACACTCACAATGGAATCCACAACCAATGGAATTTCTTCATTCAAGAGAGTGGCACAACTCATCTCACCAACGAATCCTATACTGGCTATGCTTTGATGACCACCGAAACGTAATATCCCTGGGGTATTCAACTTAGTTGGGTAATTACTAAGATTTTCTTCATGCTTGTGACTCAAATCAAAATACGCGAATAACTTTTCATCTGCGTTAATTTGCATTATAGTGTAAAGTTTCCATATGCCAATTTTTAAATCATTAGAACAAGATATAGCTATTTCATTTCCATCATCAAAGATGTATGTTACAATTACATCATCATCGTTCCCTTCCATTATAAATTGTCGAATGGTGTCTGGTTTATTTGAATCTGCCACATAATGAGCTATAACATTACGAGGTCGTGTTTCCACTGCTTTCAGGAAAATATTAAACGTCAGTGTTAAAAAAACAACAGAGTCGTCAACCTGGACGTCTATATAATTGTCTCTGTCAAACACCAGTGATGACGATACGTTGAGATATGTATTCGAATTTTTCACGTAAGGAATCGTCCTGTCTTGTGCTGGGTTTAAACTTTCTCGACCCTGTTTGGTTTCATACCCATAGTAAGGGTAATTCAGCGGCCAGAGATAATCAGTGTCTACTGACATCGTTTGTTGAATCAAAGAGAACGTTATACATGTAATTATCGAAACTGAAAAAAATATAAGTTTATTTTAGTGAATGATTGAATAAATAATGTTCTTCAAAAGAATTAATTGCATTGTGGTTGATATTTAACCCCGTGTGAAAACTTTATTAGCTGCTTCCAATGTTTTGTCAGTATGTTGTTTGGATTTCGGGTTTCGTTTTGCGGTTCGGGTGTTAGTACCTGGTTTATTTATTATATTATTTTGAAGCACATCGAGTGGAAATCTAGAAAAATTATATAAAAAATCATGAAAAGTCTGAAGATCGCACAGCGTGAAACTCTTTGTAATGCCATGTTTCAGGTTCTGTTTTAATATTTTTATATCGTTCTGCAATTGATGTATTGAGCACTATTTGGTAATCATATTATAAATATTACAAATTTAAAATTCTTACCTACAAAATTATACATGTTGTTGTTATCAAAGTTAGGCACAATCTGCAATTGCGTGCCTGTCAATCATTATTCTTCCTTATCCTATGTTATTGTTCACAGCGACAGGGCACACACAAATCGTGCTATTCCTATATCGATCGATCTATAACGCCCTCTTGAGAACTCTGTTTTAAAAAAAAATTACTTAACAAACTTAGGAACTTGTAATGTCCGAATGTAGAAGGAATATCCATCAGGTCCGTTATCACTCCTGGTCACAGAAAACTACCGCTATGCTATGTAAGCAAGTTCTCAGAACATCAATAAATTTTTGTGGCGTGCATAGGACGTCTTTTGAAGATTGGATTTTAAGTGCACATTATATTCCTTTTCCTGTCGATAGTTGTTGAAAGAAGAAATGCCAGAGTTCAATTTAACTGGGATCACATCGCAATTTCCGAGTCATAATGACCTCTTTTGCTATCGAATTTTTTAATGATTAGCCAAAATTTGAATTTGTTATGACAATCTGCGAATCAAACCAATTGTTATACTTTTCGTGCGAATGTTGCTTCTTCTGCCGATTCTTGAAAAAAGTGAATGCTTTTCATTCAGTCAGAGAAACACTGGATTTATTCTACGACTATGGATAAATATATAAACTATATGACAAATCTCCTGGGAGAGAGTCGTGGTGAGATGTACCATTGTTGTGGGAGACCCCTGGGTGGTGAAGGATCTTTCAAACCTAAACATTTATAGCCTATAATACCATCATATTTATGAACGTAATAGACAAATTTTCTATCGAATTAAGACAAAAAACCTGACGTTGGCGATTCTTTAATAATATTATCATCAAGCAAAATTAAATACGATGGACTTTACCTTAGTTTCAAAATAAAAGTCTGAACGAAATCGTTTTTGAAGATTTTTATAACAAAAGAAAAAACCTTTTCTGCTCTATTTGATTTATTTTATTAAATACAATACGTGGCATTAAACGGAAGCGAGAGTTATTCCTTAGAGACGACTAGATTTAGAAAATACTATCAGAATCAAATTTCTTACATATCTATTCAATTGTTTGACTAATTAATTGATATAAAAGTTTTTTTTCTTTTGTAGAGGTCGAGCGATTATAATGCTTCCTTTTTTGTCTCTAGATGAATGGTGATAATTAAGTTTCCGGTTAAGTTTTCACTTTTAAACGTTTGCTGTCTTTTTCGACTCAGGTTAAATTTAAATGATAATCAAAACCGGGAAAAACCAGCCCAAATTATTTGATTTAGTATGAAGAAGGGAAAGGTGTGGCAGAAAACCAGGAAAATCGGACTTTCACTCTGTTCTCACTGATAATACTAGTTGTTCAGAATCTTCAAAATCTAATAGTAAAAACAGATTTGATTTCTGTTGACTCCGATGATAGTAATTGTTGTTCAGAATCTTCCAGATCTAATATTTAAATCAGACTTTTTGAATTCAGTTGACTCTGATGATAGTAATTGTTGTTCAGAATCTTCCAGATCTAATATTTAAATCAGACTATTTGAATTCAGTTGACTCTGTTGATAGTAACTGTTGTTCAATATCTTCCGGATCTAATATTAAAATCAGACTATTTGAATTCAGTTGACTCTGATGATAGTAATTGTTGTTCAATATCTTTCAGATATAATATTTAAATCAGACTATTTGAATTCAGTTGACTCTGATGATAGTAACTGTTGTTCAATATCTTCCAGATCTAATATTTAAATCAGACTATTTGAATTCAGTTGACTCTGATGATAGTAATTGTTGTTCAGAATCTTCCAGATCTAATATTTAAATCAGACTTTTTGAATTCAGTTGACTCTGATGATAGTAACTGTTGTCCAATATCTCCCAGATCTAATATTTAAATCAGACTATTTGAATTCAGCTGACTCTGATGATAGTAACTGTTGTTCAATATCTTCCAGATATAATATTTAAATCAGACTATTTGAATTCAGTTGAGTCTGATGATAGTAATTGTTGTTCAGAATCTTCCAGATCTAATATTTAAATCAGACTATTTGAATTCAGTTGACTCTGATGATAGTAACTGTTGTTCAATATCTTCCAGATATAATATTTAAATCAGACTATTTAAATTCAGTTGACTCTGATGATAGTAACTGTTGTTCAATATCTTCCAGATATAATATTTAAATCAGACTATTTAAATTCAGTTGACTCTGATGATAGTAACTGTTGTTCAATATCTTCTAGATATAATATTTAAATCAGACTATTTAAATTCAGTTGACTCTGATGATAGTAACTGTTGTTCAATATCTTCCAGATATAATATTTAAATCAGACTATTTGAATTCAGTTGACTCTGATGATAGTAACTGTTGTTCAATATCTTCCAGATCGAATATTTAATAAGACTATACGACTTTTGTACTCTCTGATGAAAGTAATTGTTGTTCAGAAACTTACAGATCTAATATTTATATCAGACTATTTGAATTCAGTTGACTCTGATGATAGTAACTGTTGTTCAATATCTTCCAGATATAATATTTAAATCAGACTATTTGAATTCAGTTGACTCTGATGATAGTAACTGTTGTTCAATATCTTCCAGATCGAATATTTAAATCAGACTATTTGAATTCAGTTGACTCTGATGATAGTAACTGTTGTTCAATATCTTCCAGATCGAATATTTAATAAGACTATACGACTTTTGCTCTCTCTGATGAAAGTAATTGTTGTTCAGAAACTTCCAGATCTAATATTTAAATCAGACTATTTGAATTCAGTTGACAGTAACTGTTGTTCAATATCTTCCAGATATAATATCTAAATCAGACTATTTGAATTCAGTTGACTCTGATGATAGTAACTATTGTTCAATATCTTCCAGATCTAATATTTAAATCAGACTATTTGAATTCAGTTGACTCTGATGATAGTAACTGTTGTTCAATATCTTCCAGATATAATATTTAAATCAGACTATTTGAATTCAGTTGACTCTGATGATAGTAACTGTTGTTCAATATCTTCCAGATATAATATTTAAATCAGACTATTTGAATTCAGTTGACTCTGATGATAGTAACTGTTGTTCAATATCTTCCAGATCTAATATTTAAATCAGACTATTTGAATTCAGTTGACTCTGATGATAGTAACTGTTGTTCAATATCTTCCAGATATAATATTTAAATCAGACTATTTGAATTCAGTTGACTCTGATGATAGTAACTGTTGTTCAATATCTTCCAGATATAATATTTAAATCAGACTATTTGAATTCAGTTGACTCTGATGATAGTAACTGTTGTTCAATATCTTCCAGATATAATATTTAAATCAGACTATTTGAATTCAGTTGACTCTGATGATAGTAACTGTTGTTCAATAT